TCCAGGATAGAAGTGAAGGCAATTTTCACAGTGGGCACTGTCAGCAAAAAAGCTCCCATGATTTTAAGGCTACTTTCACACTGCTCTGCCGCAAAAACGCATAGGTGTTTTTTTACCACACTTTGTGCCCATTTTTAAAGGACATGTGACTTAAAAACTGCACCAAAACGCTTCTCAGAGGCGCTTTTGAGGCACTTTTCAGGTGTTTTTCCATTGATTTCATTGATTACTTTTTTCTTTTTTAACTCCCCAAACATGCCTCAAAGATGCTGCAAGCAGGAGTTTTTACACGGCTCTGCAAGTGCAACGGATCAGTGTGAAAACATACATAGATATACATAGGACATCTTCAGCTTTTCAGGTGCTTTTTTTTTTTAATGCAAAAACACTTCAAAAAACTCCTCAGTGTGAAAGTAGCCTAAAGTGGTTTTAAAGGCACTTTCTTTTTTTACTTTAATGCATTTTCTGCATTAACCGCTTAAGGTCCTCCCTATAGCAGATATACTGGTACAGGGCGGCACGTGTGCGCAAAATCACGTGTGTGTATGTACAGTTGTGTTCAAAATAATAGCAGTGTGTTGAAAAAAGTGAATAAAGCTCAAAATCCTTCTAATAGCTTTTATTTCCATACACACAAATGCATTGGGAACACTACACATTCTATTCCAAATCAAAACATGAAGAAAAAATATATATCAAATTTGTGTTGTTCCTCTAAAAAAAAAAATTGAAGAAAAGTGAATATTAGACTGTTCAAAAAAATAGCAGTGTTTGTATTCTTCTTTACAAACTCAAACATTCACTATATAAACTGAAAAATGTTTGAATATTTTGCTTTCCTTTGAATCACTTAATTAATATTTAGTTGTATAAGCACTGTTTCTGAGAACTGCTGTACATCTGTGTTGCATGGAGTCAACCAACTTCTGGCACCTGTGAACAGGTATTCCAGCCCAGGATGATTGGACTACATTCCACAGTTCTTCTCTATTTCTTGCTTTTGCCTCAGAAACGGCATTTTTGATGTCACCCCACAAGTTTTCTATTGGATTAAGATCTGGGGATTGGGCTGGCCACTCCATAACGTCAATCTTGTTGGTCTGGAACCAAGATGTTGCACGTTTACTGGTGTGTTTGGGGTCGTTGTCTTGTTGGAACACCCATTTCAAGGGCATTTCCTCTTCAGCATAAGGCAGCATGACCTCTTCAAGTATTCTGATGTATTCAAACTGATCCATGATCCCTGGTATGCGATAAATAGGCCCAACACCATAGTATGAGAAACATCCCCATATCATGATGCTTGCGCAACCATGCATCACTGTCTTCACAGTGTACTGTGGCTTGAATTCAGTGTTTGGGGGTCATCTGACAAACTGTCTCCGGCCACTAGACCCAAAAAGAACAATCTTACTTTCATCAGTCCACAAAATGTTGCGCCATTTCGCCATTTCTCTTTAGGCCAGTCAATGTGCTCTTTGGCAAATTGTAACCTCTTCAGCACATGCCTTTTTTTCAACAGTGGGACTTTGCGGGGGCTTCTTGCAGATAGCTTGGCTTCACATAGGCGTCTTCTAATTGTAACAGTACTCACAGGTAGCTTTAGACCTTCTTTGATCTTCCTGAAGCTGATTGTTGGCTGAGTCCTTGTCATTTTGGCTATTCTGCTATCCATTCGAATGGTAGTTTTTTGCTTTCTTCCACGTCTTTCAGGTTTTGGTTGCCATTTTAAAGCATTTGCGATCATTTTAGCTGAGCAGCTTATCATTTTCTGCACTTCTATATATGTTTTCCCCTCTCCAATCAACTTTTTAATCAAGGTGCTCTGTTCTTCTGAACAATGTCTGGAACGACCCATTTTCCTCAGAATTTCAGAGAGAAATGCACTGTAACCAGCATGTACAACATTTGCTGCCTTCCTTCCTTAAATAAGGGCAATAATTGCCATCTGTTTTTCAAAGAATGAATGACCTCACTAATAGAACTCCACACTGCTATTATTTTGAACATGCCCCTTTCAATTAGTGATTCAATTACACAGAATCAGCAGCATGCATGTCATGACTGTTGGGTCTGTTGGATTTCTATTACTCTACTACACCTGCTAGTAAATTATTTGCCATGTAGAAATATAATTTCTACCAAAAACAGTGACTGATCAGGTTAGTGGTGTGTGTGTGTGTGTGTGTGTGTGTGTGTGTGTGTGTGTGTGTGTGATATATATTATATGATTTCGGGGTAGGGGGTGCACAAGCCCTACCTGCACTGCCAATTGTGGCTGCGGATGTCACTCACTGGACACTGGCCAGTAATTACCCACCAGCGCCCTGTGATTAACGACAATCCCCTAAGGGGAGGAAGACTGCAGGAGCACACTGCTTACAGTAAAGCACACACCCTCCACCCTCCTAGTAAAACACTCCCAGCACATAGTTAACCCTTTGATTGCCCCTCACATTAACCCCTTCCTGCCTAATGCCATTAGTACAGTGACACTGCGTGTTTTTTTTTTTTTTGTTTTTTTAGCACTGATCACTGTATTGGTGTCACTGGGGCTGTCGGCGACACCAAGTTGGTTCCCCCCCAGTGGTGTCAGAATGTCCGCAAAAGTCCCGCTAAAAGTTGTTGATCGCTGTCATTACTAGTAAAAAATAAAAAAAAAAAAAAAAATCCCAGTGTATATATACTGACATTTGTAAACGCTATAACTTTCACGTCAACCAATTAATTTACACGTATTGGGATTTTTTTCAGCAAAGATGTCACAGAATACATTTTAGCCTAAATTTATGATGAAATTGATGATTAAAATTATTTAATTTTTTTACTTAACATGTTTATGCAAAAAGTAAAAATATATATATATATATATATATATATTTATTTATTTATTTTCTTTTTTTTTTTTTTCTCTCAAATTTGGTCGGTCCATTTTTTTTTTTTTTTTTTTTTTTTTTTTTTTTTTTTTTTTTTTTTTTTTTTTATAGCGCAAAAAAAAAAACTGCACAGGCAATCAAATACCACCAAAAGAAAGCTCAATTTGTGGGGAAAAAGATGCAAATTTCATTTGGGTGCAGCGTTGCATGACCGCATAATTAGGATGAATTAGGATGAATCTTGCAGGATGAAATAATGCATGAAATACACATAATTTTCTAAGGGGGCATAAATGTGGAAGTGTTGATTTGTTGTCTGTAATAGTGGTCATGTAATGTATCTGCTGCAGCGTCCATTTGCAGTCCACTTCTACAGTATAGCATGTCCATCCACTGTTGCATGTCTGTAGCCTGACAGTGCAGCCCATCTCTTGAGTCAGGAAGCCCCCCATGTCGGGTATTGACCAGCACAGCTGGAGAGGATAGAGGTCATGCTTTTGACACTTTTTTTTTTTTTTTTTTTTTTCCCAATGATTTAATAAATATATACGGGGATCCTATAAGCCTGCAAATAATTAGCCTGAAAATGGAAAGGCTGACTTTGCACTTGTGCATTTCAGTAACATGCAATAAAACAAGCTTTTTATCATGTTATTGCTCAGTACTGTTTATTTATTTTCTTTTTTTTTTTTTCTCTCAAATTTGGTCGGTCCATTTTTTAAAATTTTTTTTTTTTTTTTTTTTTTTTTTTTTATAGCGCAAAAAAAAAAAAAAAACTGCACAGGCAATCAAATACCACCAAAAGAAAGCTCAATTCGTGGGGAAAAAAGATGCAAATTTCATTTGGGTGCAGCGTTGCATGACCGCATAATTTGTCAGTGAAATATTAGTGCTGTAATGCAAAAAATGGCCTGGTCAGGGAGGGGCGTAAATCCTCTGGAGGGCAAGTAGTTAAGGTAAAAATACAAAACCGGTACCTGACACCACACCATTGCTGCCCCTGCTGGTAGCCCTGCTCTCCTCTCTCCCTACATTCACAGATTTTACTGAGAGTAGTTGGAGCTTTTGGCTCCTGCTGGTGTCAGTCAAATCCTGTGAGGAGGTGGGGGCAACACCCCACAGCTGCTCTGTGGATCTCTGAAAGCACACAGCCTGGCTAGGGAGCTTGGACGTGTAATTTCCCCCATAGCAAGATGCTTGCTATGGGGGCACTCGCGGAAAATGAGGCATAAAAAGAACAGGCTGGGGACCACAGAAGAGCAGGAAGGGGGCCTATTGGACAGAGCAGGTGAGTATAATATGCTTAGTTTAATTTTAAAAAAGATGACACTTTCTTCCTCTACCTCTGGCATCTCTTTATGAACAATAAGGCATATAGAAATCAATGCTGCTTGCATAGTGACAATATACTACAGAAGGATGAGACACAATCTCAGATTTACCTTTAAGGGGGTTTGCTGGTAAACTTAGATACTTCTAGGCCTATCTTCTTTTTTTTTTTTTTTTTTTTTTTTTTTTCTTTAAAGTACAGAACTTGCTTACAGCAACTCTTCTGGGGTCCCATGCTCCTGGCTCGGCCCCCTGCCGAATGCCTGCATATAAAACCCCTTGCTATGGAGACACACGCTTGTTATACTCACTGTGGAACCTAAGGGCTTAATCATCTGCATTGTGTAAAAATGCTGTTTGTTCCTGGCTTCTCTGATCCTCCTCTTCTTCCAGTGTCCCCCTCTTATCTCCTAAGACATATTTGTGGAGTCACTCTGCACATGCTCAGTTTGGTGTGTATTGCTAGGTGTTTGTTTTTTTTTTTTCCCCTTGGGAGAATGCATGTGATCAGCACAGTCCAGACACAGGTTAGGGGTTCTGCATCCTCCTAGAGCAGAATAAAAACTTCTCCTACAAGCTTTAACCAGTGTTCAGCTAGACACTGATAGAAGTCACAAGACTGTTCTAACTGCTGATGAGAAAAGGAAATAGCAGTTTATATTTACTAAAATAATTGCACTTCCATGTTGTGCATACTGTGGGAGACCAGATATAGTGAATGCAGGGTCCTGGGTTTAGTAACCCTTTAAGAGCCCAATACTACAGAATAAATATTTTTTCATTTCTTTTTTACAGGTGGATGGATTCTGTGCAAATCTTTACAATCAGGTAATGTTAACAATGATGTTTAAGTTAATTTTGGTCTATTCTGTATGCTGAGATTAAGGCCATAGAGCCCTGGGGTCCAGCCTGCAGCACAAAGGCCGTATGCTGTCAGTGCTGGCTTCTACTAGTTCAATGACTTGGTATATTTCTTTCACACTTCTTACTTTCTGTGGTGTCCATCCCTTTCCTCTTTTTATAATGGATCTTGCAGGATGAAATAATGCATGAAATACACATCATTTTTAAGGGGGCATAAATGTGGAAGTGTTGATTTGTTGTCTGTAATAGTGGTCATGTAATGTATCTGCTACAGCGTCCATTTGCAGTCCACTTCTACAGTATAGCATGTCCATCCACTGTTGCATGTCTGTAGCCTGACAGTGCAGCCCATCTCTTGAGTCAGGAAGCCCCCCATGTCTGGTATTGACCAGCACAGCTGGAGAGGATAGAGGTCATGCTTTTGACACTTTTTTTTTCTTTTTTTTCCAATGATTTAACAAATATATACGGGGATCCTATAAGCCTGCAAATAATTAGCCTGAAAATGGAAAGGCTGACTTTGCACTTGTGCATTTCAGTAACATGCAATAAAACAAGCTTTTTATCATGTTATTGCTCAGTACTGTTTGTTTTTGCCTTTTTAAAATGGCGCTCCGAATGCACACTCATGTACACAGCAATAGGATATACATTCACAAAGCATTGCCACAGAGCTCTGTGAAGGAAAAAATGAAGTTCATGTCCACTAGAATTATGTAGTGACTCTCGTAACTTCTCTTGTCTACAGGTCCAGAACTTCCTATCGGAATTTGTCCCAGAGAAGATTCACCACCTGGATAGTCTGTTGAAGGTCTCTAAACCTTAAGTATCAGTTGTTGTTGTTGTTATACAGGATTTATATAGCGCCGACAGTTTGCTCGGCGCTTTACATTATGGTGGGAGACAGTACAGTAACAATTCAATACAAGAGGGATTCGAGGGCCCTGCTCCTTGGAGCTTACAATCTAGGAGGGCGGGGATAGTGGTACAAGAGGTAATAACTGTGGGGGATGGAGTGGTTGGAAGAGTGGAGTAGAGTATTTCAATATTAGCTGAGGGCTGGGTAGGCTTCCCTGAAAAGATAGGTTAGGAGTGCGCCTAAAAGTGAGCAGAGTAGGCGATAGTCTGATGGATTGGGGTAGGGAGTTCCAGAGGATGGGGGAAGTCTTGGAGACGAGCATGGGAGGAGGAGACAAGGGAGCTAGAGAGTAGGTCTTGTGAGGAGCGGAGAGTACGGTTTGGGTGATATTTGGAGACAAGAACGGTGATGTAATTTGGGGCAGTGTTATGAATGGCTTTATACGTCAGAGTTAGCGTTTGAATTTTATCCGTTTGCCAGTCCCTCAACTGGCTTCCAATTGCCCGAGAGGGGTGGCAGATACGGAACAGTTAGTAAGGTGGATGAGTCTGGCTGCAGCATTCATGATAGATTGAAGTGAGGATAGCCTGCGGTGAGGTAGGTCAATGAGGAAGGAGTTACAGTAGTCGAGGTGTGATATAATAAGGGAATGAACGAGTTGCTTAGCAGTTTCCGAGGTTAGGAACGGGCGTATCTTGGAGATGTTGCGGAGGTGAAGTCTACATGAGTTTGTCAGCGATTTGGACCTGGGGCTGAAAGGACAGGTTGGAGTCTAGAATGACACCTAGTACTCTGGCTTGAGGGGTGGGACTGATGATCATGTTGTTGGTCTTGATGAAGAAGGGGGGGGGGGGGGGGGGGCACAGGCTGGGGGGAATACTAGAAGCTCAGTTTTGGAAAGATTGAGTTTGAGGAAGTGGAGTGACATCTAATCCGATATGTCACTTAGCAGGCTTGTGATACGAGCGGAGACTGAAGGGGTGAGGTGAGGGGGTAGAGAGATTTGTGTCGTCAGCATAGAGATGGTAATTGAAGCCGTGGGAATTTATCAACTGGCCAAGGGAGAAGGTGTAGATGGAGAAGAGAAGGTGTCCAAGGACAGCACCTTGAGGGACCCCAACAGAGAAGGAGTGAAGAGGAGGTGGCAGCATTATAGGTAACATTGGAGGAGCGCTGTGATAGGAGAGAGCGGAGTCTCTGAGGCTGAGTGTAGTTTTTTGAGGAGGATAGGGTGGTCAACTGTGTCAAAAGTCACAGAGAGGTGTAGGAGTACTGTATAGTGGCCATTGGTTTTGGCGGTTCTAAATATTGAACAGCAGAACGAAATAGGTTTATTGTCACTTTACATTGTTTTTTGGGTGTGCAATAAACGGAAAAGCCTCACATTTAGACTTGTAGTTCCAACTTTAAAGTGATATTAAGGGCAGATTGAGATTCCAAAAAAAAAAAAAAGGAAACAAACATGTTATACTTACCTGCTCTGCGCACTGGTTTTGCACAGAGCAGCCCCAATCCTCCTCTTCACAGGCCCCCCACTGACGCTCCTCGCCCCTCCTTCCTGCTGAGTGCCTCCAGAGCATGCAGCTTGCTATGGGGCACCCAAGTAGGCTCGCTCCCAAGCCACTGCTCTGGGAGTACATTCACACATGGAACACGGTTCGTCCCCGTCCCCCAAGACAGTCTTGACTCGGTTGTCTTTCATGTGCAATTTTGCTAATAAAGCATTTTCATAATTATGAGCATCGCATTTGTCCTCTTATGTAACTGCTTTTTTCTTGTGAATTCTTGATTCACAATTTTTTTTGGTTATTGGGCAAACTTTGTACTTCAAGCGATACCAATTACTCTTTAAGCCTCTATCTCTATGGTTATTTAGTTGGCCCTATCCCCTGCTCTTTCCTTGTTAGCTCATTGGCTGTGACTGACAGTAGCGGGAGCCAATGGCTACTGCTGCTGTTTCAGCCAATGAGGAGGAAGAGTCCCCAGGGAGCTGCTGCTCTTTTGAAAAATTGTGGGATCTAGATGGGGCTCAGGTAAGTATTGTGGGGGACTGAGGGGGCTGCTGCGCAGGTTTTTTTTTTTTTTTTTTTTTTTTTTTTAACCTTCATACATAATATGCTTGAGTGTTAAAAACCTTGAGTCTTTTACATCCACTTTAAATAGGCTAAAAATATTTTCTTCAAGATAACTACACCATAATATCAGTGAAAAGTTAGCCCACCTGAAGATATTTGTTTTTGGCAGATCCTGGAGAATTCAGTTACCTGACAGTTGTATATCTATTGATAGTGTGGTGACAACATCTGTACCCTTGAGTTACCAGATCTACTTACCATTATGAAGGGATCCCTTGTTTTGAATTGATTTTATATTCCATCCAGAAGTGAAGGGCAATGACCAGGTTGGATGGGAGCAGAGTTAGGAGATTTTGCCACCACAAGCAAAGCAGGGGTAATTCATTTTATCAGGTTCCACCTATGAATGTTATATCATTTTTGGGTTAGCTTATTTTAGTTTTGGTGACTTCTTACATGTTGTTGCAAATGTATGAACTGAGTTGCGGTCCAAGTGACCTGATCACTTTCTCCCCTCAGAGTGACCTCTTCAGTGTCAAGGATCTGACAACCCTTCATGCTGAGCTGAATATTCCTATTCCTGACCCTCCTTCTCCAGAATCTGAGGTGAGAGACATGAAAGAGGAAAAAAATGAATTGGAAAAGCTAAGCTGTTGCCTTCTCAATTAGCTGGAAAAGCTAAGCTGTTGCCTCCTCAATTAGCAGCATCATCACAAGTGTAATAAAAGCGCCACACCCTTAATACTTTAAAGCAGCAATTCCACCTCAAAGAAACCAAATAAATTTCTTAGTGCTATAACTTAAATCAAGGAATGCGCTAAAACCACAAACTATTCCTAATTTAGTGTAGAAACATTAGTGCAAAAGATATATATATCTATTATCAATTAATATCAAAATTATGTGCAAAACATAAGTAATTTAAATAATTAAATTTGTGAATATAAAAAAAAAAACAAAAATGTCCAATTCTGAATTTCTTCAAATGTCCAAATAAATCCTTTCCAAATTCAGGTGCTCTCAAAGAAATTGGCAGCAACCTTGTCAGCCTGCCGTGCACGCTTCTTCAGTTGGCCATTGGGCTCCAGACCTGATAGGCCCCATTTCCAGGACAAACCTTTAGCTTTTGGATAGAGACTGTAAGGGAAGAAACTTCTGCAAGGGGAGATTTTTTTGTCTCAGAGAAACTGGATATGAAGAAAAAAAAAAAAAATCACCTTTCAATGTCACCAGAGCATGATTTCTCATTGGAAGATTGCTCCAGTCCTGTTTTGGGATTTCCCCTTATTTCTTTCTCTAACAAGTACCATTGGGATTAAAAAATCTCCCAAGTGGGGAAGCAGACTGCAATGAAAGTCTGATGAAGTTCTAACCTTTTCTTGCTCAATCCAAAATCTGCAAATAAATTTTGGCTGGAGTTCAATTTTATTACTTAGACATAAACTTTGGCACAAACCCATGGGGGTAATACATTACAGCCATGATCATGCTTTTGTTAAACAAATTATGTATTCTTTGTTTTTTAAACACTTAAACAAAGCATATTTTCTTTTCAGGATTCTAAAATGGAAACTGATAAAGAAGAAAAGAAAGGTAGCGTATGTCCCTTCTATCTTTCTAGTTTTGTAACAAAGAATGAGTCCACACTTACCTTTTTGGTGTTTGGTAGATGCTGGAGGGGTATATCTATTTATAGTTTTTCACTCCGTGAGATCTCTGTGCTTGAGTTCTTGGGTAGGCATGAAGTTTTGTTCGCACCAACCATGGTTTAAAATTTTTGGAACATCTGCTGAAACTGTGGCAAACTGAACTTTGGTAGATTTGCTCATCTTTATTGCTGGGTCTGCACACCTGCCCACTACGTTTCACCCAATAAAACTAAGCAATCATATTTGAGTGGCAATCGCCCTTAAGTTTTTATGTTGGCTCTTTTGGTCAGCTTTGCTACTGAGATGTGCTAGCACCTATGGTGACTTTTCCCACACATGGCTACTTAAATGCAAAAGAGAAAATATAAGGCCTATAAAAAGCCAGGATCTGACTTCCCCATCGGTTTTCACCTACAATAAAAATAATACATATGGGTTGACTGCAGTTTGGTATGATAACTTTGTTTTTCTGGTTTACACAGCTCCTAAATGCGGATTCTTGAAGGAAAATGAGAAGATTTAAAAAAATCCTAAACGTTGTCCTACCTGAGATAAGGACTCTCCGTGAGGGTTGTGCACTGGTAAGACTGTGATAGAAGTCGGTGGCCTAAGAAAAGTGAATGCAAATGACAAAAATGATTTCAGCAGTTTTATTTCTTGTAGATTATCACTTGGATCCATCATGTTATTCCAAAAATTGAAGATGGAAATGACTTTGGAGTTTCAGTACAGGTACACAGTTGTATGTATATTCTTAGAGTGCTTTATTTTCTGTTGGCACAAAGGTGAAGGAAAATAGCACTGACATATCGATAAAATGTGGTGTTCAACAGTCTACCAGATATTTTTAGATGTTTTAAGAAAAAAAAAAAAAAAATCAATTTAACAAACCTCCTTACATGTTGTTCTATTCTTTACACACATAAGGAAAAAGTCTTAGAACGTGTTACAGCCATAAAAACCAAAGTAGAAACCTCTCAGACTAACATCAACAAGTAAGTATATGCTAAAACTTAATTTCACTTTTTTTACCTTCTATTATTTTATCCTCAACCATAGGATCAGAGCTTTAAAGCAATATTAAGCTGTCTTAAGCAGCTAAATGATGTGAATAATAATATGGCTCCACTAAATTTGTCACCAACCAAGCATTATACTGGTAAATATTTTAGATATGGAAAGTTACAATCTGATTGGGCTGGCTAGCTCTACAGCCTCCAAGCCAAGAGCATGAAAAGGATGAGGTGGCAATTGCTTAAAGCAGAGCTAGATCCACTAATTTAACTGTTTGCCAAAAGAAAGTCAAGTTAGAAATGTTCCACAAATGTTAAACCCTTAGGGGTTTATTTAGTAAAGCTGGACAGTGCAAAATCTGGTGCACATCTGCATAAAAACCAATCGGCTTCCAGGTTTTATGGCCAAAGCTTAACTGAACAAGCTGAAGTTAGAAGCTGATTGGCTACCATGCACAGCTGCACCAGATTTTGAGTGCATCAGTTTTAGTAAATCTACCCGTTAAAATCCAACTTCAGGAAAAAAAAAAAAAAAACACCCTTGCAGTGGAAGGGTTAATTGTTCGTAATGTCATAGGGATTGTAGAAGATTTTAAATAGTAGATGCCTCTTCTACTTACCTGATTCCTTGTTCCAACTAGCTCCAGCACCCTCCTCTGCCCAAAGCTCTGATCTTTACCTTAATCCTCTGCCCCTAGACTAACCCAGTGCCAGGGTAAGGGGGGGTGTCTCCGCAAGAGCATTTGTTTCCCTGAAATTGGGCTTAAAGCGGAGCTGCACCCAAAAAAAGGGGGAAGTTCTGCTTTAAGGACCGCTCCCCATTAAGGATTGGCACCTTTGGGGGGGCGGGGAGGGGGGAACGGGTACCCAAATTTGACAGGTACCAGCTCCCACTTCTGGTTTGATCACCTAGGCGACAGAAAGCTGAAGGTGTCCACCCTCCCTGTAGTCTTTTGGGACACGTGACAGGTCCCAGAAGACTACAGGACTATTTATGAAGCGCAGCGCTACTCGCGCATGCGCAGTGGGTACCCAGCTGTGAAGCTGCAAGCTATCACAGCCGGATGCCCACACTGAAGATGCCGGCCTCCTGGAACACAGGATGGCCAATGAAATGGGCTGCAGGGGACACACCGAGGGACAGGTAAGTGGCTGTTTTTTTAAAAGTCAGCAGCTACAGTTTTTGTGGCTGCTGACTTTATTTTTTGACAGGGTGAGTGGAACTCTTTAAGCGTAGAACTAAAAGCAAAATTAGGGAGGATTATAGCCCATGTAGTGTTTTTTTTTTTTTTTTTTTTTTTTTTTTTTGTGTGCCATCTTTCCCCCATTGAAGATTTCCCTTTTACTTCCTCTCCCATAGCCAAAACAGAATGTGAGAGGAAATCTCGCCGAAGTGAGGGAATCCCAAGGTCTAACCAGAACTAGTGTTCCTATTGGAAGATTTTCCCTCTGTTCTAGTGTTAACTGTGTTAACTCAAAATTTGGGATTTTCTTTTTTTTTTTACTTTCAATGATAACTGTAAACCGTACAAATTAAGAGGGTGAATCTCCCTAATGGGGGCACAGGCAGCAGTAAAAACTGACAGGTGTTCTAATCCCTCTTCACTCTATCCAAAACTAGAAAAAGATGCCTTTTTAGTTTCAAACATACCAGTGTTTGATTGTTGCAGTGTTTTTATTTACATTCTGCCTACTAGCCCATGAGTACTATATGCTGCATTCAAGGCATGCCTCTGTGATAACTGTCAGTTGCCAGTGTGCTCATATCAGCTCTCATCCAGACTTATAAGTCCTCAAACAGAGACATTAAATCTCACTATACACATTGAATGGGACACAAATATGGGACAAAAAAGCTGACAGTGGTTTTAACCATCAAATCATTTAACCATGGTAGACAAGGGACTCTATTCAAAATGGGGAGAAATTGTTTTGGCTTTTTTTTTTTTTTTTTTTTTTTTTTTTTTTTTTTTTTATTTTTATACATATCATTTTTAACCGCCTCCCACCCGTCATATAAGGTAATGACGGGCGCAAGGCAGTTCTCTTGTTTTGGGAAGACGTCATATGACGTCCTCCCATTCTAACCACGCATGCGTGGCTCCAGGAGCACACAGCACGGCAATCGGTGGTGTATATTTATACAGTGTGTGTGTGTATATGTGATAGAGATGTGTGTATATGTGTATATACACACATCTCTAAAATCTTCAGTATTTGTTTTCCCTAAAATTAATACTATTCCCCTAATGTATCTATTACATAAATTATTTTAAGACTTGTCTATTTTTTTTGCCCTTTTAGATATTTCACAGAAAGAGGGGATGCTGTTGCTAAAGCTTCAAAGGAAACACATGTGGTGAGACTGTTTGTTTGTTTCAGGCATAGCTCTCGAGTTTTTCTGTTATTTTACATTATTCTTTGTCGTCATAATCGTTTTATCACCTGTATATTATTTTTTTTTTTTTTTTTTTGTAGATGGATTACAGAGCCCTGGTCCATGACAAAGATGAAGGTGCCTTTGTAGAGCTGAGATTAGCTCTCATCGACGTGAGAAATATCTATGTGAGTTTCTTATTTTTGTAATAAGAAATAGGCTCTGATTTACTGCTTACATATTTATCAAAGCATCTTTTGTTCATACCGATCACAATTCACTAGATTCTGGCTTGTGTTCTCACCAGTTCAGTAGAATAAAAGGGACATAATGTTTACTTGCTATATAAAACAAGAACAGTATGTCCTTTTTGAACACTTAAAGGGCATTTTACTGAATTGTACGAACAGGCTAACTGGCATGGAGCCCATTTACTTACATGTAGGTCAGGGCAAAAAAAAAAATAAAAACCTATGCAATACACCTCTGCAATGCCTTCACAGTTCCTTGTATTTTATACCAGTTAAAGACCCTGCTATTGATCTGCTAGAAATGCACTCCACTCCTAATTCAGTGGTGCGAGCCCTATCCATTTGTCTTTTTTGGTAAACACTTCACACCCTCCCATTTATAGTTTTCTCTACAACATAGACACTATTTTACTGTAGTCCAAGGTAACCACTGGAAGGGCTAATTTTTAGTCTGAGATACACGTTTAAGCAGAAGTAAACTGCCACAAGAAAATAAAAATGTAGAGCCCAGGAGTTTGTCATAATATGCTCGTATCTCTTTTGTAATAAAGCCTACCTGTTACCAGTTTAAAAAAAAAAAAAAAAAAAAAAAATTGACTTTACTTTTCATTTTAGACCTCCAATTACATGGCCATAAAAAAAAAAAACATTTTAGAATAGGTTTGTTTTTTTTTTTTTTTTTTTTTTCTAATATGGATCCAAACACAGCTGAATTGTTTTTTGTTTTTCAATAGACATTCAGAGAGTTGAGAAAACATGCACTGCGTTGAGATCTATAACACAAAATGCAAAAATCTACATCTGATGACTTGTATACAACATATACCATTGAAAAAAGAACAGGACAATTGATCTATGTACTGAGCATTTATGCAGGAACTTTTGTTCCTTGCCCAATGATCAGTAAACTTTTTATGGTGGTGCTACGGCCATATGAATGTAGCATTAAGCACTGGAATGTGAAGTGAGTGCTTTAAATAACTATCTCACTCTGATTTGGCTTATGTCTAAGTTAAGGAATAAAAACTTCAAAAAAGTCAAAACCTGTCAAGAAAAGCTTAGAAAATCTTCAGCTTTGTTTTCCCTAAAATTAAGTTTTTCACAATCCTAAACCTATTGGGCACCCAAGTGATGGACAGCTTCCTTGACCAATAGGAAGATTTAGGAGATGGGAGGGTCAGGCCAAATGCAACACTTCTACATCAGCTGCCTCTAACTGTGAGTCTGCTGGTCTATTTAACCTGTGGTTTTCACCGATGATAATGTATGCTTATGTATTTTTCAGCACTTGCTGAGTCAGAATTGCTAAAGTTTGGGACAGGTCTGCTATAGGTAGGGAAATCTAAAATCAGGTGACATCATTTATATGTGCTGCTTCCTATTTCAAAAGGAACTGACCAATGGGCATTGTAAAATATAATATAACCACATGGTTAAATCATGCAAACTTTCAGAACTGTCTGCCCTCTAATGGTTCACTCAAACTGACATGTAATAACTCCTCCTCCAAACAGGTTGAACCTATACCAGGTTAACTGATCTTGCAACCCATAGTGATCCGCGGGATCAGCTTCAGTGGTTTGCAGCCTGTAAGGGGTTAACTGTGGCAGCTCTGTGCTAAAGTCAGAGATCCGTTTCTTCGGCCTGAAACCAGCACATGCGCAGTTGCTTCAGGGGATACATATCTTCACGGGTCAGAATACTCATTTTACCGCTACACCACCACCTCTCCTTCTCTGGAGGGGTGATACCACATGTTACTGCACCTGGTGACACCAAACCTAGGGACGCCTCTGGAAATACAAATGGCGTTCTCTGCTAAAAGCTTTTAAAATGTGGAAAACACACTTACACATTTCAGCACTTATCATAAGTACATAATCGGTGTTGTATGTATAGCAGTCAAGCCGTTCAGAAGATAGCCGCGGATGATGTCAGAAGCGAGGCTCCTCCTCCCTATGAATATTATTTATTCATAGATATTAGGGTTTCGACTGCGCTGATTGGTTCTGTTTTGTTTAATGACAAGCAAACTGACTAATGAGCAATAATTTAAAAGATTTTGCACACTGATAACTGTTCTGGATAGCTACAGGTTATATAAAAAGTTCTTGATTTTCGCTTTAATGTCTTAACACTTGTGGGTTTAATTTAGGTCCTCTGTAAAATACTATAGTATATACTGTTTCTAAGCACTTTTATTCCAAATATTTTTTTCTGTTTTTCAGGTTGAAATTTTTGATATTATTTACAAAAACTTTGAAAAAGTCACAAATCCTAAAGGAGAGGAGAAAAGCCCAATGTATTGATCTCCATCCAGGATGCCTTCTATGTACTACATCCTCCCAGAATGTTCTGTTTTTCTTAATTTTACACTGTAAACAAATACAATAAATTGAGCTTCAGAAGACTGTGACCTTGACTTTCACTTTGAAATATTATTTCATATTTTGTATACACTGGATGAATTTAGTATAGGATTACCTAAGCAATCACAAAAGGGTTAAATGCATATAGATGTGCATAATGACTTAATTATTAATACTATACAGGATTTATATAGCACCAACAGTTTGCGCAGCAATTTGAGATGCGGTTTTCACTGATAATGTATGCATGGGGTTGATTTACAAAAACTGGAGCGTGCAAAATCGGGTGCAGCTGTACATAGAAACCAATCAATTTCCAAGCTTTTTTGACAAAGCTTAACTGAACAAGCTGAAGTTAGAAGCGTATTGGCTACCATACACAGCTGCACCAGATTTTGAGTGCACCAGTTTTTAGTGAATTTACCCATTAAAATCCAACTCCAGCAAAACAAAACTTACAGTGGAAGGGTTACAGCAGCAACAGATTTTACACTCTGATTTTTAGCAAATCAAACCCAATGTGTAGAGGTTTTGTACATATTTCTTCTTTGCTATGCTCAAAACTAAAAATTATTACATTAAAAACAATATATATTTTTGCCAGTCTATTAAACATGAACAGTTTTTTTTTTTTAATTTATTTATATATATAATCTATCTTTGTACTATGTAGGCTTATATTAAAGTGGAGCTCCAGGCTCCCCCCCCCCCCCCCAAAAAAAATTAAGTCAGCAGCTACAAATACTGTAGCTGCTGACTTTTAATATAAGCTTACCTGTCCAGTGCCATTGTCACCTGGGCTAGTTCTTTACTAGCCTTCAGGTTCCCAATGCCGGCATTGCAAGTAAGGGAAACCAGAAGTGAAGCCTTGCAGCTTTTCCTACTGCGAATGTGTGAGTTGCACTGCGCTTTGTGATTGGTCACGTAGTGTACTGGGACCAATTTCTGTGCTATTACCTCTTTTTTAAAAAAAAAAAAAAAAAAAAAAAAACTAATCCCATAGCTGGAAAAAATAAATTAAAAAATAAACCAAAACACCGTGCTAAAGTATAACCTTATATACAGTATTAACAAGGCATTTGACAACACAATTGATCTATTAAAACATGCAATTTATTTGTGTACACATATTTTTAAAAAAATAATTTGACATCAAATTTTGTGTTTAAAACACCATATGCATTGAAACTTGCAACTCTAGTGTAGTACATATTACATATCCAGGTTCTCAGACAGCTCGATATCCACTTCATCAGGAGCTAAAGATGATTATCACTGTATATGAAAAAACATATATATTGTTAACACATTCTATTCCACCCAATGTACAAATATGATTTTTCAGTTTGTTTACCTAAATATGTCCAGGAAAAGGACAAAAGAGGAAAGATTAAATATATACAGTATGTATTCACCCCTGTGCAAAAATACATAAAGTACATACAACACTGCAAACGTGTAATGAAAGTGCAAAAACAATCACCAAAAAGACATGAATTAAATAGTGAAACTCACTCCATATGTGGGACAAAGTGCAATAGTGGTGCCATTTGATAAGAACATCACAAATTTAGTGTAGCAGCAACAAAAAAAAAAAAAAAATGGTGCACTAGTCTGCACACGTGTCCACTGATCATTCAGCAAAAGTCCATCACACAGGTGCTTAATAAACTTCATTTCAATCCTCTGGTTTCCACCCTATCCAGTCACTACCCTTGCAATAGCACAATCATCTTCCTATATTGACCCCCTAGACCAGTGATGGCGAACCATTTTGAGCCCGATTGCCCAAAACTGCAACACAAAACCACCTTTTTTATTTCAAAGTGCCAACACTGCAATTAACCACTTGCCTACCGGGCACTTCTACCCCCTTCCTGCCCAGACCAATTTTCAGCTTTCAGTGCTGTTGCACTTGACAATGACAATTGTGCAGTCATGCAACACTTTTTTTTTTTTTTTTTTTTTCACACAGAGCTTTTTTTTTTTTTTTTTTTTTTGGTATTTAATCACCACTGGGTGTTTTATTTTTGCACTATAAATGAAAAAAGAGCAAAAAATTAAAAACATAAAAGGTTTTCTTAAATATATAATGTGTTGCGCTCCCAGTGACAATATTTTTGATGTATATATCTAATTAACTTTGATATGCAAATAATTCTCAGGTATTGAATAAAAATATACAAAATCAAACTATGTAAGTGATTTGAAAAAAATATATAAACCACTATAATGTATATAAATTAAATGATAATAACCGCAAAACCAATAAATAGTGCATAGTATACTAAAATATATAAATGAAAAGAATATACATCATAAATAGTGAATACTCAAAAAATTATATATATACTGCCAAATAATTGTGATATAAATGTCCTTTAAATTCAGTGACTTTGTGCTTGAATAAATCTTGATTTGGTGACTTTTTGTGAATCTGTGACTTTCTTTGAATCCTCAATTGGTAAAGATGTATGCTCACCTCCTTGTTAGCCTGCAATTAGGCTATACACACTTGTGGTTCACCTCCTATGGAATTCCTCCCTTATATATGGTGAGAACGTGGATATGCGTTATCCTCAAATAGCCCATGTGCGTATTTCCATATGTGGGAACAAATTGCCAGACATAGTGTTTTATCCTTATAAAAAGGTTTCTCCTTTATTACTTTCCAGCAGGTACACTCACATATGTGATATGCGGTATAGGATGAAATTGCTCAGCTCTAATGATCCGCCAGCCGTCGGCCATGCACCTGCTCGTCTATCCGATACTCCAGCTCTCTCCGAGTGACACTGCAGCCCCACCCCTACGCGTTACGCCACCGGTCACGTGGCTTCATCAGGGGGTTGTGATGAAGCCACGTGACCGGTGGCGTAACGCGTAGGGGTGGGGCTGCAGTGTCACTCGGAGAGAGCTGGAGTATCGGATAGACGAGCAGGTGCATGGCCGGACGGCTGGCGGATCATTAGAGCTGAGCAATTTCATCCTATACCGCATATCACATATGTGAGTGTACCTGCTGGAAAGTAATAAAGGAGAAACCTTTTTATAAGGATAAAACACTATGTCTGGCAATTTGTTCCCACATATGGAAATACGCACATGGGCTATTTGAGGATAACGCATATCCACGTTCTCACCATATATAAGGGAGGAATTCCATCCAAGCAGGTTCCATAGGAGGTGAACCACAAGTGTGTATAGCCTAATTGCAGGCTAACAAGGAGGTGAGCATACATCTTTACCAATTGAGGATTCAAAGAAAGTCACAGATTCACAAAAAGTCACCAAATCAAGATTTATTCAAGCACAAAGTCACTGAATTTAAAGGACATTTATATCACAATTATTTGGCAGTATATATATAAATTTTTTGAGTATTCACTATTTATGATGTATATTCTTTTCATTTATATATTTTAGTATACTATGCACTATTTATTGGTTTTGCGGTTATTATCATTTAATTTATATACATTATAGTGGTTTATATATTTTTTTCAAATCACTTACATAGTTTGATTTTGTATATTTTTATTCAATACCTGAGAATTATTTGCATATCAAAGTTAATTAGATATATACATCAAAAATATTGTCACTGG